GAAAATGGTTTCATGATTTCAAGATGAGTACAGATAGAAAAGCAAGTACAGCAGGGATGATCCTGACCTCACCACATCATCTCTGCAATCTGTCAGCCCAAAACTGCTTCTGCTTCCCCTCCACTCAGCACAGACCGTGTGGTGTCTGCTGTCACTGCTCACTCATCTCAGCAGTATAATGATGCAAATTGTAGACCATATCTGACTGTGAGAAATAAAGGTTCTATCCATAAATAATGAAGACTTTTTTCCTTACTAATTCATGTTTCTGTTTAATTCTTCAGATTTAAGAAAGAAAACAAATTTTACAAATTCCTTTGAAAATTCTCTAAATTGTATGTTTATAGTTGTAATTTCAATTTAGGGTCCCAAAAAATACTGATTGACCTATTGTAAATGTATCTCTGAAAACTATAAGAATGGCAATATATATATTGGGCAAGCATACAGAATATTTCTGATTAAAACCAGAATACTAGAACACTAGGAATTACTTGCCCTGTTGGTCAGTAGCTGTAGGGCCCTCTGCAGTTTTACAAGACATGAACAATTTAGTTGCTGTCTCCAACTCTCATCCAAATTTCTGTTTCATTGACCAACATTAAGCAAAAATATTACAACAGGACTTCTGAGACCAAGTCAAAAGTTAAGGTAAGGTGTATAAGGCCATAGAAGAGACAAAAGAATAATAGAGCAGAGAACGGAACTTGGCTCTACCTAAGAATTAGATGTAGTCACTCAGCAGAGGTCTGTGAAAAAAGCACTGTAGCTCCAAGCCAGTAAATGAGATACCTCCACTATGGTAATGTGAATCAAACTCCCACATCTTTCCAAATAAGTGCACTGCTGGGCCATAATACAGGTTCATTTCCTCCATTTTTTATGGAAGCAGATAGGAAAGGTTAAAATTCAATTTCACACCCAGGCAGAGAGAAAGAATTTTTTTACCTTGAAGATTTTTAATAAGAAAATTGTTTCATCCATTTTCAATAATCAGCATTGCTGAAGCTAATTCACAATAAGGAACTATAAGTTGCTAACTTTCCCAAGGCCACTTGGCTTTCTTCACACAAACAAGCATCCTAAAATACAGGGTAATCTGAATTTTGAATTTGCAGTTCACTTACTCTCAGTTGGTTATGCTGTTCATACAACCACTTCTATACATTTCACTGATGATGCATTGTGCTGCTCTAAGCTGGCATATTATCAGGTAAGCTGAAGGGCACCTTCACTCTTCTTCACAGATTCCTTTTGCCCCTCCAAACATTATCTCTGCTCCCCTGGCTCCCTAGTCTTTGTTTTACCTTTCCAAAACGTTCATTTTTTGGGGAGTTTGCAAGGCAAAAATAATGAGCTACATCCTGCTAAGGAGTCTTGGTGTCCCAGCCCCGCCAGCCGCTCCTGGCTCTGCTAGCACCCGCTCTGCTCTCCCTGCTGCTCCCGAGATCCACTGAGTCACTGCTGGGAAACACAGCCTCTTCCTCTAGCACCAGCTGCTCTCAAACCCAACAACAAACTGGAAATAATATTAGCTCTCTTTCACAGGATAGAACAGTACCTTATGGCCAGCCCCACTGGCTTGTTTGGGGTTTTTTTCTCCCATTTTTCTTAAGGTTTCAACTGTGTCATTCCCTCTCCCTCACCCTTGAAAACTGAAAAACACAGTTAACCATCATAGTCAACTACCAGCAAGGAAAAGATCACTTTTAAAGTTTCAACATGCAAATTTTATAGTTGGGGTAAACTAAAACAAAGAATCCCAACAACCTCATCACTTTCTCCTAAATCCATATATTTTCATGGATTTCATATTTTCTACATACCTTCAAAATTTATATTATATTCTCTATGTTATGGTAGAAATAATTGCCTCTCCACTGACAACTTGTCAGGTTTCAGGATGATGCAATATGAGAAGACAGAGATATTATCTTCCAGATATATAACAGAAATACTCCTCACAGACCCTTAACTAGTGCAGTGGAATCGAGTGCCACTGCAACATACAATGATAGTAAAAGTTATGCTATCTGAGGTAAAAGACTCCCTGCACACACCTGAGTACTCTCCTAATAATTTTTAAAGGTCTACATAGCATAAAACAATTATAAAAACCAGTTTATTTTCACAGTGGTCTTTTCTGGTTTACATATGAGTCTTCAGCTTCTTTGATCAGTTTTCTAAAATGTTTTGGGTTGTTTTTCTTCTTTTTTTCCACTGTCTGTCCACACCCTTGCTCTTTATCAAGATTTCTCTACGAACCTTTCACCATGATGATATCAAGTACATAAGCAGGCTGCTGAAAAGGGAAGGATTAAAAAAAATAAATGTGTGTGTGTGTATACGTATATACACACGTACCTACGTATGTGATAGCACCTAAGGCAGGCTTCTAATTGTGAATGTGTAAGCAGAGTATTCACCAGGTTCCCAGATGCCTTTTGTAAAGAACTGATTAAGTTCTGAATATTTAGAATTAGAACTAAATATACACAACTGATGTTTTCTACATGAAATATTCTGATCATCCCAGAGGGACCTAATTTGTTATCAAGGGATAAGGAGCCAGTAAGAAAATGCACAGATAAAAGCAAATGAAAAGACACTTTCAGCTCATAATTAGAGGCATGATGTATTCTTTTTAGATTTGATTCACACAGAGAAACCCTTGAGATACTTTTCCCATACAGCTTCATAAGAGGAACAGCAGCCAGCAAGTAAAGCAAAGCATGAGCAGGGCCCTCTCCCCCAGTGTCACAGCGCTGCTCCGGGGCAGGATGCTTCAGGGGCTGGCCCGGCAGCAGGCCCCACATGAAATGAGCTGCCGGCAGAGCCCAGCAGAGGGGCTGCTGTGCCCTGCCCTGCCAGGCCCCAGCTCTGTGCAGCTGCCCAGGCACTGACCTGGCAAGGCGCCACCAGCCGAGCGCTCCCAAGGCACTGCAGTGCTTGTCACAGAGCCGCTGCTGCTGCACGGGACACAGCGTTTGTCCCATGGAAATCCCTGCTGGAGACAGTGACACCAAGCGGGCCGTGGCACAGACTGGGGGCTGCCCCAGGAAGGCAAACTTCACAAAATTCAAAGCCTGTTACCAGCAGCAGAAACCATTCTGATTCCGTGGCTAGCTAGATCAAAAACGCCACAGAAGGTTAATTCTTGCTTCCAGAAGATCGAGAAATGAGTGCAAAGTGATTAGGCAATAATCACAGAACATTTCTAAAATAATGTAATGAAACAGACTCTGATATTGAGACATGCTGGAGACAGACCTAGAACCAGTGTCTAGTTTAAAAGCACACAGTACAGCAGAGGGGACATGAACAATACAGGGCTGGCAACACTGCTCAGGGAACGTGCTACAAACCTTAAAACCCCAGCTAAGCCTCAGAAAAAGCTGAATCAGAGCCGTTCATTTCTAATGCTAGAAATTATATAAAACCAACCTGGCTTTATTTCAGTTACTGAGGCAAAGACCATGTAGCTGATCAAGTGAAGATTGTTTTTCCTGAGCCAGACGATTTAAGGGATTGAGCACACAGGTCCAAGACACTGTAGAAGAATTCAAGCGACTGACTAACAAACAGGAATTTGAACACCTTTTCCTGTCTACCCACAAAGTAGCAGGAAGGCAGAGCTGATAGAGTACACCAGAAAAATGTAATTAAATTCATCAGATTTTTCTCCTAAAAATACCCTATAATTAAATACCAAAACCCTTCCTAAAACAAGATCAATTCTCTTATATCTCAGAATTCAAATAATTACTAGGTTAAAATGAAAACCTTAAAGTGTATCAACCAAACCTTTTCACACTTATTAAATAAATACAAAGACAACACCTTCTGTTTGGGAAATGCCCATCCCATTGTTGCCAGATTATAGTAGAATACTGAGAACAAATATGTATGTCTCATCTTTTGCTTTTTCCTAAGTGCCTGGTCCTGATCTCTGCTAGAGAGAGAGAGTTGTTCTGAAAAAGCATTGTCTCAAGAAAGACAGTTGGAACACATTTCTAGAAGTTTCCAGCCCCAGTGTTGACTAAAAAGCTTCTAAGGGTGAAGAAATACACCACAATCTCTCTTCGTGCTGTACATCCTCCTTACAAAGAAGCCTTTCTCTAATGAAAAGATTTGCACTTGCACAGATCACCTCCCTAATGTTCTGCATGCTTAGCCCAAGCCAGTCTTCTGTTGCTGGATCAGCATAAGCAACAAGTGGAGCCTGCCTGCGGCCTGTACTAAAAGCACAGAACACTCATGTTCTGCAGCCCCTCAGCCTGCAGGAAATCCATCACTTGGGTCAGTGCTTACAGAACCCTCTGCCCTTCGGCCTCTCTGCCAGGAGGAGCTGATGCAGCCCAGGCTGAGCTTTGGGGGCAGCATGGTTACAGCTCTGAGCTGCAGCCCAGCGCACACACCGAGCATCGTGTTGACAAAGAGGGAAACAGCCTTACCTTTCCAATCCAGCTGCACCTGCTAGGGCTTATCCTCAGCAGTAAAATTAATCTCCCATAACTCTATAGCTGTAGCAGGATGTAAAAATGGTTTCTGTCACATAACACACTTAGTGTTGGTTTTATGTGCAAGTAAGCCAAGAAAGGGGTTGCTCACAGGCTTATGGTTGAACACTGTATGAATGCAAGCACTTGCTGGACCAGCTCCCAAGTGCCTCCTTCATTATCTCCATATCTCAAAATTATGACTTCCAATTCAGACTGCTCAGTTTCTCCATGCTATTGTACTTCCTGCTATGCCAAATAGAACATTTTCATATTAATTTTAGCAGATGCTTTAATTTATCCTTTATACTATATTTTATTAATGCCTATTCCACTGGCATCTAGGCAGATGGCCAACTTCAAAACCAAAGTTTTATGGAGGAATTACAAGAATAGTCAGGCAAATGGGTTCTTCACAGCTGGGAAGCTGTTACAGTATGGTATATTTATAGTATATAAAAGATACTTGTGAATAGAACAGATGGTAACTTAAGAAATTACCTGAATTTGGATTTTGTCCTGAATTTCAGTAGGTCCTTGTGAGTTTGACATTCAGCAGTTTTATTCTTTCAATCTCTTCACTTTCTTTTCTAAAATCACACACTCAGGTTTGCTGAAAAAATATACTTTCATAAACTTAAAAAAAAAAATCTTTCAGAAAGGTTAAGCAATAACTTGAAACTGTTAAGGAATCCAGCAGGTCAGCAGATTTTTATAGTCGAAGTTATGAACAGCTGCAGTGTCTCCCACAGATGTGACACAACCCTTTATAAACACATGGCTACCTAAGTACACAAGTGTGACAAACATGTCAGCTCATCACCTCCATGTTTGTTTCATAAGCTATTTGGAAGTAAACTCTTCATTTACAACCACTTAAGTTTTGAAGTTCAAGTCTAGCTGGGAAACTTTGGAGAATGAGAAAAGCTTTTAGAGCAGTTTCCTTGCCAACTGTACCTCAGGTACAGTTTACCGTCCTTTCTGAAGTGATTAAGAGATTTCTACAGCAACCAAAAGCCTTTGGGATGCACATCATGATTTTAGACACACAGTATTTACAAGTTCCTTATATCAAATTATGTACTTTACACTTGCAACATCTAAGTTTATCAGCTGAATTCAAAGGACAGATTTCCAATATCCAAATGACCCATAAGACCCTCACTTCCAGTTGATTTACAAGCAAAAGAATGTTGGTATTTAAACCTGAAAGTCTCCTTCACAACAATTAATCTATGGCCTGGTAACCATTAGCTGGAGTGTTCTGTGCTGCAAGGCCTCTTTTCTTGGCACAGGCACCATTGCAGATTGATAGGTTACCTGTAGCAGCATTTTCTGTATTACAGAACACAACATATACAGTTAAGTTCAAAATTAACTTTAAACAAGAAAAGGTTAAATGATTTAAAAATTTTTTTGGTTACACAGAAAATTTCAAGTCTATCATCTTTGGGGAATTCAGTAGTTAAATGTTACTGCTCAATATCCTAAGTGAGCCTTGGGTTCTCACACAAACATAAATAGAGATCAGCGTTTCAGATATCGCATAACATTCGTTTGTTCTGTTATGTGTGTAGTCACAATCCTTTGTATTAATAAACTAAAATAGTCATTATAAATTCTCTCCAGAGGGACCTGTGAGCATTTTCTGAGGAGCTACAGAATCTGATCAAATGTAAGAAAACAGACTGTAGTTATCCCTTGATTCTCAGATGGCTGCATATCAAGCATGCTTCCCTAACAAGACAGCTCTGAACTCTTCTAATTCAGCTCTTGCTTGTTTGGATCAACAATAGATATGTTCAGCTTGTTGCATACCTCACTCAACTAACCTGCACAAGGAAGCTACCATAAAATAATTGATACAAAATATCATTTCATTAGCCTGTTTTGGAGGTTGTTTTGTCATAAAATCCAATCATGTATTAGGATTTAAGGAAAAAACTATTAGTTATTTTGTCATATAATGACTTGAATGTACTTTTCCACAATGACAAATCATGTTTTTCTTGTACTGGGGAGCCAGGCCTGGGTTGTATGTCACAAACAGCAAGTTCTCCTTAAGACATCTACCTCCTCCCAAAAGCTTTACAAGGAGCCTATGGAGCCTTGTCTTCATAGTCTCTCAAAGTAATACATTTGCCTTCCAGTTAAATATGCATTCCACAAGACTTGACTATACTGCACTGAACTGAATAATAAATATAACTGAATAAATAACTGAATGTTAAAGCAGTTGCATGCTTTTTCATTGCCAGAAAGTTTTCTTGACATTTATATATGTTAGACTTATGGATCATTCTGGAAACATCTTGCTTGCTGCTAAGGTAGCTAGTAAGTGTAAGTAGTCAAATTTGGTTTAAATATACAGCAGTTGAAATATAGGCTTTAATTATGAAACACCTAATATATATTAACATAAGCAAGAATGCAAAGCAAACAAAGACATAATGTATGTTTAAGTTTAGCATTGTTTAAACTCTAAATTAATTTCAGATTATTCATTTATATCAAAGATTAGCCTTCTAAATTCTGATGATTTTAGAATTAACCTATTCTACTTTATAAACAGGAAGTTGCTATCTGGAAAAAAACTGTGAAACCATCTCAATCCTTCTGCTTCCCTGGCTCACTTATTGAGGCAGGCTTTGGTTCTTTTAGGGGTTTTTTTAGCATCCATGGAAAAAAAAATTTTACTTAGCACTAATGAAAATTTTGAAAAAAGAAAAAAATCCACTCAACTAACAAATAAACTAACTCAAGAAGGAAAAAAAATAAAACCAATAAAAAAAAACAGAACCCAAAACAAAATAAACCAAAAATAAACTCTACATCTCTTATTTCCACTGAAATCACTTAGGTCCAAATTCAACAAAGGACTGAAGGACTTGAAAGGCAATTGCTTCAGGGCTTGTCTTTTCAATGCCTGGAGATGATGTCAAGACAGCAGGTCCCAGGATGGGCTGTGCAATGATGTGCAGAGCAGGAGTTTGCAGCACACGGGTTTTGCAGCAGCCAGGCTGTGGGAGGGAGCTGTCCAAAACCAACCAACTTATCGCTGGGAAACAACAGGGTGAGCTCTTTCAACCCTTCAGCTGATCTACCCGGGACCAGAACAATAGAACAAGGAGCCACTGGAGCCTACACTCAAAGGGAGAACCATGAGAACCCCTCTGCAGCTACTTCCTTATCTCCAAGTTCAGTTCAAGGATTGGTGGCTCAACTCTTTCCTAACGCAGGTCTCAAAGTCCAGTCTGACTGCCTTTACTCACCTTGGCAATATTTTTTACAAGGGGAGTACACTAGTATTTAGGCTCTCTGCAATAGAATGTATTGCTCAAAGTGAGCAATAGTGGCAGAATCTATTCCAGGGGAAGGGAAAAAAAAAAAAAAAGAGCAATTGCAAACACTGTGGAAAACTTAACATGGACATTTTTTAGCATCAGAAAATTCTGGAGGCTTCCAAATAAACTCATAATTCAGAAGCATTTGAGAGACAGCAGTGCATCAATAATAGATTTTTAGTAGGTTATATCCTTGAAAGAAGGTAGATTGTAGAGCAGACAAAATAAAGTTGTTGGTGGCCTAATACATTGCAAGTGGTTTGTCACCTACAAGACTGCATTCTTTAAAGATATCTAACACACACATACCAAAAAAAAAAATCTCAAGTGAATTTATTGACCAAAACCAGTTCCACAGAACCAATTAGTATCTTACACAGGCTGCCCTGCAAGGCTTATGAGGCCATCCATCACTTGTCCATTTAACTATTTAGCATTTGTTCCAGCAATTTGTCACACTGTCAGAATGGTAGCATTTCAGAATAGGAGTTTTGGTTGAAAGAAATCTAACTCAGATAGTGCAGATATTTCTTTTCTAATAAGACTTACACAAGATTTATGTTTCTATTATTTTTAACCTTAAGCATCTTGTCTGGAAGGTGAGGTTAATTCTTTGTATTTCAAAGTTTCCACATTTAAATCAATTGTGTTAGATGAAAATTTAACAATATTATGCAAAATGGAATTACTTCAAACTTCATCAACAATCCACAGTTCTGACATCAGGGAGTGCATTATCTTACAGCTGCAGTGCTTACATTTTTATCACTTTTGCCATCTAGTCATTTGCTTTTATGTTTATTTTTGGTGACTTTCTTAATTTCCCTGCACCAAAAGAATCACAAAAAAATTACCTTTCCCTTGAATGAGAGGCAAGGTTTCAACATAACATTAGCGTGTCTACTCACAAGGTGGTTTAGATTTTTCAAGCTCTGTGTATCTAAAGGGAAAGAAAAAGGATTGCTGACGAGTTTCAATTACTCACCTCCAGATATTTATAATTTTAAACGAATGCATAAAAACTAAAATGCATAAGAAATATTTCAAGCTCTGCTATCTCTAAAAGAATATTTGATGTCTATAACGCAGGTACTGGGAACTGTTTCAAAAGACTGGCACTTGCTTTTAAACACATCCAGAACATCTTACCTGAACAACAAGTAGGAATTGGACTAATGCAATTACCACATTAAATGGAAGCAGCTACAATGAGTATGTCAGGCAACCTGATAACACCTTGTCAGAGAACTCTCATGGCTCTACCACGCATGGTGGTGTGTCCACACACCTGCAATTCTGCCACTTCACAGACTCCACCAAAATAAACAGAAGCTATTCCAAAACAACCTTTAGATTTGTTTATTGTTTCAGAAGCAGGACTCTGCTTTTTAATGGTGCGAGCTCACAGATCAGAGGTCTGCTTTCCTGATACCCTGTAGAGTTTCCTGATTTAGATTTCTTATAAAGCCGCTGCAGCAAAGAAGGCTGGGAATCAAATGCCATCTCTGCATCTGAATGCTGTTAAGTAGCTCCCATGGCATTTCTCCCTGACTCTCAGTGTGTGTCTGTCACTAAGCTCACTCCCAGAGATAAAACAGCAAATGTGAACTCCTGTGGGAAAGCACGTCAAGTAAAAACCTTTCTTGAAGCCTTGAGAATGCTCCAGCTCAGTCAATCTTCAGGCCTTCAGTCAGCACAGCCATCTCACCTTGTATACAGAAGATTTTACAGTGTACCAGCATTAGGTAGGGATAATCAAATGTTTAATAAATTAGAAGTGAGTATCTCTGTGTAAAAGACTTAGCAAACAGATAAAACACCAACTACATAATACAGATTAGCCCTGCTCAAACACCCCAAACATTCCCCACTCTGCTTTGCTGAGTAATCTTGGTGTTAAGCATGCTTGACAGATTTGAACTATCTTTTTTATTTGTCTCTACCCATTTCTGTCTATAATTAATTGCATCAGTCAATTATCTTGGTATCTTTTAAATTTCACTGTAGTATTAGTCTGCCTGTAGAGGATGCATCTACCTTAGATGTAGGTTACTCTGCCCTCAAAATAAACAGTATTTCCAGCTACACTCAGAATAGCACAGCAATTCTTGCAATACTGGAGAGGCAAAGTGGGAGAAGGAAAGAACCTGCAGGACAGACCATCAGTTCACAAGAGCCAAGGAGTTGGTTCCGGTCGGACACAGCCAGAACTCCCAGTTGGAAGAGACGGTGCTTACGCCCATAGCGATGCTGAGCCCAGCAAGCAAGA